CTCGTGACATTCTTCCAAGAGCTCGAGAGTGTTCGTATTTTTCCTACAGGCCACCGAACACGATAGTGCAGGATATCGAAGCTGGGGAAGGTTTTTGTGGCTGGTGTCTCTACCTGAGTGTAGTGAAAGTTACCCCATGACGTGAGGGGTAGAACACTCTGAGCAAAAGCACAGACAAGGCAGCGAAGAATCGTTCCGTAACCTTTGAAGTAATCGGATGCAAAGCCAAGGTCTACGCCAAAAGAGATTTTCATGGATTTTAAAATTCTTACCGCATTTATTGCTTTTAAGGTACTGGGATTCAAATGTTTACATTAGAGGGGAATGATTAGGAATCTCAACTGTTTTCGCACACCTACAAATCCGTTGACATTCCCCGGTGACCTGATTTTCAGCTTGACTGTTGTCCCAAAATAGTTTAGAATGGATCCACAGGTAACAACAACTGCTTCGGTTCGACGTGTAATACAAAATTTACGTAGCACTGATACTATAAAGAAATTAAAAATTTTAAAATTCTTACAGCATTTATTACTTTTAAGGTACTGGGATTCATAGATGTTTACACTAAAGGGGGATGATCAGGAAGCTCAACCGTTCACACACATCTATAAATCCGGTGGCATTCCCAGGCGAACTGATTTTTCAGCTCGAATGTCGTCCTAGAATAGTTTAAAATGGATCCACAGGCAACAACAACTGTCTTGGTTCGATATCTGATACAGAATTTACGTAGCACTAATACAAAAAGACATTCTCAAAGGCGCTTTATATTCAGTGATATTCATTAACTGAGAGTTTTCCTAGATATAAATGTTTTAAGTTATTTTTATTAAACGGCGAGGCTGCTACAAATTCGGATCTATGATACAGCGAGTTGCAAAAAACAGGACGGTAGCAAAGATGAAGGCCTGCTGGATCCCCAAATGTAGAGCAGATGACTTTTGGAACGCACAGAAGATTGTTTCTAAGAGCGGAGAGCATAACTTGGACAGAAGATCTTTCTTGTAGAGTGAACTTACGTTGTTGAAAGACTTAAACAAAAAGAGACAATTTAAACTGAATGTCACACTAGGCCGATGAAGGTCGATAAGAGTTGTGATATGATCAAATTTTTTAATCTGAAAAAGTCGCGGCGTTCTGAACCTCATGGAATGGAGTAAGAGCAACGAACTATTTGGACTCTTCCTTAAAGAAACCATTAATAATAGATCGCAATAGAGTAAAGTCTTCAAGCCCCTCAAACGATAGGAAAGATATTTTCAATCGGTATCTATATCTAGAAGCAGATTATTCCTTTGAGTTAGGGAAAGGCACAAAAACGAAGAAGAAAAATAAAAAACGTTAAGATTTGAGATAAAATCGTTTGCACTACAAATAACCAAATTTTAGTGTATTCGAAAACTAAGTATGGCAAAATCTCCGAAATCGCGGCAAAACCAGAATGTTTTTCTTACAGACTCGTTTATTGATGTGTGAAGGGAATAACGAATCCGGTGATTAAAAACCTCCCGAAGGGGTGACGAAGCTTGAAAATCTGCTTCAGTGTAGACCTATTCGCTGAATAACAGATCATAATTGAGTATTCATTATTTAAGAACCAAATGGTTGATTGGAGATATTGAAAGAAACAATTAAACAACAAAAAAAATTCACTAAATGAACAATCAAGCGAAGAATTAATTTTTATCGACTTAAAATCCTCCACAGCGCCCAAAAGAAATATAAAAAAAATTTACCCGTGAAAAGAAGATAAGAAAATTTGGTCCCTCTGTTTCACAAATACACTCTGCGAAAACACTCGTGACGCACTAAAAAGAGGATGTTAGCACTGCCAGATATTTGAGAGCTTTTGTCTCCGTTGCCACCTCATTTCCTGTGACCAACTATCCACAGTTAAATACCGACCAATATATTAATGACATCTTTCGATTCACAGACGATCACCGCGGCTATCAATATCACAAATATTATTCCTGTGGCATTTTAGAAACACGCCGCTTGAAAAACTATTGCAAAACAAATTTTCCAACATGTAGGAAAAACATGGTAAACTTGTTTTGACACAGTATTTGCAACTACGTATATTTGCTCCATCATAATATCATATCTCATATCATAGCTATCATAGTTATAAACTCAGTCATCTTAAATTATTTAAAACTAGCTCGGGAAAGTCTTAATTAGGAAAGATCATTTTTAGCTACCGAGCTCGAGGTCTGTACTCGCTCTTAATTACGGACCTATTTTTTTCCCCTAAGATCCATAACCTAAAGACAGGTTAGGAGGAGGATTTCTAGTCACGCGCAACGCCAGGCCTGAAATCACTAACGCACGTGGAAACAGAAAAAATAAATTCAAAATCGTCGCTCAGTCTTAAGCCTAAGAAAACAAACGACTTGACCTTCGTGTGCCAAGTTGCGAAAATTGTGCATAAATTAATGAGAGATTCGGCAAAGCTAGTGGGAAGCATGGCTGACTAAAGCAGTTAAATTGACAATGGAATCAAAGGGTGTGTGGTGACTGAAAGATTTAAGTCGATATATCGTTGGATAGAGTTGGTTGCTTAATTAAGAGGAGGTGGGGAATTGAAATAGACGGGGCATATCAGAGAGGTTCGAGTTAAATAATTGATCCTTCACTTTTTTTTTCTACTCCCGGAACAGGCTGAGATCTCAGTGTGACTCTTGAGTTCCTAGGATGTGAATCGTACTTTGCCCTTCAAGCTCCAGAACACTCATGCACCTCAATAGTCAGATAGTTAAGAGAATAAGCCGATATGCTTACTTATTTGTAAAACTCTTTGGTGCGTATTGTATTGATATTGTAAAGAGAAAATGGATATTAATTGCTCCGGAGAGAGAAGGATATCAAAAAGCATGAGCTACTATGCGCAAGTCGATTTCTTCCCAACCCCACGCCTAAAGAGTGATCAAAGAAAGCGAGACTCTGAAGGGAGGGCGCAAGTGCAATCTTTGACCCCTACTTTTATCATATAAACTACGGTGTTATACAAGGATTTCCAGCCCTGAGAAAAGCCGTAACAACACGCGTGAAAAAATATCGTATTTTTCACGTGTGTTTGTTATCTCCAATTAGCTGCTGACACGTCACTTGCCTTTCGCGCCACTCGATCAGGTTGATGAATGAACGGCGAAGCCTTCACTATTCTCAATCCAAGGTCGTTTGTCGAAATGTTTCGGATTACGACTTCTAAAACACTTAAAAAATCCGTATCGCTTACAGACAGTGACGTTCAAACTTTCCTATAAGTTGAAGAAAACCAAAATACGGATAGAAAAACCGAAAGTTACGTTGTCAGTGGCTTTGGTAATATCATTTCTCGAGGCTGAGAGCGAAAATCGACAACTGGAAGATTTGCTACAGGCCGATTCTGGCCGTGTACCTGAAAGATTTCCTCTGTCGGTAAGGACCAAGTCAATAACTGAGAATTTTGTGTATGGAAAATTACGCCCATTGTTTGTTTTCATAGTGTTTCAACGCATTTTTTCATCTTGAGCCTTAGCGCCAACGCACTTTACGATTATTACTCGGGGATTGTCGATCCTTCTATTTTCATTCATTAATAAGTTGACTTTTCCTGTCAGTAAAGGGCTATTGTGTCTATATGATAAAGAAAATAATACATGGTTGCTTGTAGATATGGAATTTCTCTTCTCGTGTTCAACTCCACATCTCACTCGTTCGTTTCCGCTCACTCGTGAGCTATCGAGTGAATCACTCGAAGAGAAATTCCATATCCACGCTCACTCATCTATTATTCTCTAATTATCGTTTGAAGTGGGACATATTTGATCGGTTCGCGCATGTCATGTAATGAGTGAACTCGTCTTCATTTTTTTTTCACCCTCCAAAATGGCGACACTCATTCATATGGATAAAGGTTGTATCACCATACCATTGCGCTTTTTACGCTGCTGCGATACGCACTGAAGCTATACGTCCGAGAAGTCAGGGATAGAAATGATCTTTTTTTGCGGACTGATGACCAATTCGACACACATATCAAAACACGAGAATTTGTGTGTAATGGACACACAAAACGGGGACGAGTTCGGGATGAAAACTCGGGAAACTGGTATTGTACAATAGCAAAACTTAGAACTTGTTGCCGGGATACATAGCAAGGCATGTAGTGCTTGTGAACAAGTAAAAAACGGAAAAAAAAGTGTCGCAAAATGCAACTTAAAAAAATTAATTTGCAAAAGCGGACCGAGTGCGGGAGCAAATATAACGACATTTTGCACAGAATCAGACTGATGTTGGAATTTATGGATCGGATATGAGTTAAGGTGTGAAACGCTTAATTACAAGTACAAAACTAATATTGAATTCACATTTTCCGAGTACTTTGACTCATTTGCATTCTTTGCTTTGGAAAGAACAGCGCCAGCGATCAAATTCGCGGTAAATAAAGGCTATCAATTAAACATGCGCGATACCTGACCAACCAGAACGTGCAGAACTTCACAACTGAGTGACCTCACAATCGCTAATTGTAACTTAAAGAGCCAGTCTTAAACACAAAGTGGCTTCCGCGCCGAAAGATAATAGTCCTTTGCTTGGTAATGCCAACATGGCTGAGCAGTGCACTTCAGAGAATGTCTCCGATCCGAGAGCGGAAGGTAAAGTAGAAATCGAAAACGTTCATGTAAGCGAGAAACAAAAAATAAGGGAATCTACTGTTAATGAAAATATACCAGAAATCGATATAGATGACATTGAAGCTGATCAAGCACATTCAACTGACTGCGATGACTACGATGACTTTAGTGGAGAAATTATTATTTCAGTAAGGAGTGAGCTCGCTGAGGCTGAGAAAGAGCCAGAGAGGTGTTGCAATGATACAAAATTCTCCACACGTAGCCGAGACAGCTCGACCTGCAAAGAAGGACGGCGCAGCGAAATGAAAGATCAAAGCTCTCAGGCCAGTTCTTTGCCAGAAGACGCTGTAAGTGACGAAGTCAAAATACTGAAGGATAAGCTAGCTATTAATAAGAAAGACACTGAAACTTTGCGGAAATTACTGGAAGACGTACGAACAGACTATGAAGAATTACAGAAAAGTTTCGATAAACGCACTAGTGAGACAAAAAGTGAGGAAGGCGAAGTGCCGATAAAAGAGAGCAATGAAATGAGAAAGCGGAAAGCTGAGAAAAAACGATCGAAAAAGGTTTATAAGGTTTCATCTTCAGATGAGATAACGGAGTGGAGATTTTCAGATAGTAAGACAACGGGTTTTACTAAAGAATCTCCAAGTGCTCTTCAAGTAATTGACAGTGGCGAAATAGCATGCCCCTGTCTTGAGAAAAGTATTCGTAAAATCGTGAAGGATATCAGAGAAGAATTCAAAGACACCATTCTGGACTTCAAACGATGCTTTGAGGAACAGTGCACAAGCATCGGTGAAGAATTAGCCACGTTAAAACATGAATACTTGGGCGCTGTGGAAAGAAGGGATTCTGAAATTATCGGCTTTGAAAAAATCATCAAAGGCTTGCAGTCACGATTCCTGGAAGAAGACAAAGAGTTGATAACGTTCAGATCGGTTACTGCATCTGTTTTGGAAGAGAAGCAGAAATTATACGACGATATTCGTTTGCTGAAAGATGAACTCTTGCGAAAAAAATTCGAAAAGGAAGCTAGCCAAGCAGAGTTAGGGAAAATGAAACAAGGTTTAAAGAAATATTGCACCGCTGAAGAATATGAAGATTTGCAGAAGTTAAATTTTCAATTTGATGGAGACTGTGGAAGTAGAGGAATCGATGGCTGCGGTCAATCTTCTGAGAATATGAAGGAGTATGATAATGTCGGTGAACTTCAAAACAAAATGGAACAGTTCCACCCAGTTTTGAAAAAAGCTAAGCAGGAAATTGCAAGGCTAAAAGAAGAAAGAACGGAGGCTCAGAATCGTTTGGAAGAAAAGATTTCCGAAACGATTAAATTAGAGAGTTATTTTAACAAACAGTTGAGCGAATCTGTAATGGAACTGAAGCGAAAGGAAAGAACAATTACCGAACTGAAAGAACAGTTGTCCAGTGCAGAGCTGAAAAATTATCAACTAAACAGTAAAATAAATCAGCTGGAGAAAGAGAAGGAAGATTTGAATAAAAAGTATATGCAAGAGTTGGAAGAAGTTAAAGGTGAGTTGAGGCCATTCAGCAAGAACCGTCAACTAAACAAAAAGAGGGGCGAACAATTACAAAATGGGAATGACTTGCCTAACGATGATTACATTGGACCGAAAAATCAACTTGAAGACAAAGAAGCGAAAATGCTTGCAAGAACGACAGAGACTGAAGAATATTTATTTGACGAAGACTACCAGAAACGATTTCTTCAGGTAAGAAAAAATTGTAAATCTGTAAAAGGAAATCTGAGTCCAGGGCTGTAGGACTGTTTGCTTTAAAAGCAATGCCCAAAGTTTGAAAATCACAGGAATGAAATGAAAGGGAGAAAATGGAGGGAAGGATAGGAACTAAAGAGGAATAGTATTTTAGACCCAACTGGCGGGCTACCTTACCAGGCTCAGGAAAAATAAGGAGGCGAAGCGTGCATTCCGCAGCGGTTTCCTTGGCAACTGCCTTCACTCGCTGTTCTACTCGATAGTTTTCATTGACTGAAGGCCTTATAAAGGTTGGTTTAGGTAGCGTCAGAGATTTTTAATGATGCAAGCTGTTTGAACGCAAAAAATTCTTTGTTAGTACATCACAAACGAGCTAGCGAAATACAAACAAAAAACAAACGTACAATAATGTAGAAAATCTCTTTCGTTTTTAAATTTTAAGTTACGATTTTTCTCTTTCTCTCCCCACTTTGTATTCTTTTTGTATTCACGCGCGGCGTGCGTGATTTCCCAAATTAGCTGAGCACGTCCGATAACTTTAACCTTGACATTGGAAAACTGTCATGGACATTTTTCGCGTAGTTTTAGTTTGTTTTCACGGAGTTTTACTCAGTTGTTTGTTCGCGTAATTTGTTACGCCTTTGTTTGGAATTTTAAGAGGTTTCGGAGATTTTATTTCAGCCAGATGTTGTGGTTTATTTAAAAAGTTTAATACATATTTTCTACGGAGTTTGGACTCTAGCTTCTTTTTTCGTAAATGGAATTTTTACAAATAACTACAACGACCAAAAATTTGGTTAAATCTCCCACGTGATACCGTTGGCTTCCGGACCTTTCTCTCGTCAGGAGAAGTCCTTGCTTAAGAAAGATCTTGAGGCTGAAAAGAGAAAAAATGAATTGTGCCTGTTGGAAATAGAAAAACTTCAGAGAGAACTCGATCAGTGGAAGGAAATCGTCCGAGATGATATGGATGTGGGCGTGGGATTCCTTCGGATCGAAAATGAAGATTTGAAAGATGAGTTACAAGAGAATCAGTAAGTTTGACAGAATTATTTCTGTATCATGGTTTTTTTTTAGATGTAGCTTAGAAGATGTTTTGGGATTTACAATATCCACATCACCTTCGGCAAATAATGACGGAGCACGACGGGGAAAGAATAGTCGTAAGATAATCAGTGGAAATTTGCCGCCGGCGTGGCTTAAAGTACTCCCGCTGGTTTAGACCAGAAACATACCCCTTTGATTAGACTTGAAGGCATCACTTATTTGTTCGTCACTGTCGAGCCAAAGGGAACTTAAGCGATCAGGACGGCAACGCCGAGGAGGACGTCAATAAAAAAATGAGTTTACGTTTTTGGCTAGAATTTCGCGAATGTCCAAATATGTTTAGCGTCTTTTATGGCGCCACACCTCAACTTTAGCATAACATATGTGAGCAGCGTTGAGTTCCAAATGGAATCTTTAATGATTTGTTGTCGGGGTTTTCTGTTCTCAAACCATGTAAATTTTGTATTGTTATGTAAAACACTCGTGCTGACCTACTTTTTTTCCCCATTAGAAGCACTTCAAATTTCCTAGAGATAGAAGTAACTTCGCAAGCAAGACTGTCAAGAACGACCTCTGACATTTTTTTTAAGCTTTACGTACACAATCCAGTCAACAGAAATATTGCAATATGTCTTGGTTTACGCTGGATTTTAACTCTATGATTTCTCTTGCACATCCAGGATATTCATTAAAGAATTGATGTCAAAGAAAAAGCGACATACCCAAATAATTAAGAAGTTGCGGGCAGAAAATGCCATGTTGAAGGTTTGTTTTATCTATTCCTAAAAAGACTACATCATGTTCCTCGTTATGGGAATGTTCCATTCTAACCACCACCCCTCCCTAATTTCCTTTTGGGATAGCTTTTTGGTAAAAAGGCTCGGATTTTTCTCGTGAGAAACCGACAAAAATTGGACCAAGAAGAAGCAATTTCGAAAAGATGTTTAACGATAAAGAATGACGATCAAGTATTTTTAAAAAGATTATAATACATTTAAATCAAACCTCTTAACTCAATTAAGATTACGGCCTTTCCCCCAACTCTCTCGATTTCATTTTCTGAAGAAGCCGACTGAACATTGAGGAACGTTTTCCTTTCTGTAGGATTGGGGGGGGGGAGGGGAGGGAGGGGTGACGGTGGGACTGGAAAGTGGGACGTTTCATGTTCGCTATACAGTTTAAAATACTATTATAGGTCAAAGAAAGAGAAAATATACTAAGAAACGTTTTCTAAATAATTCAATTTTATCATTTTAACGTTTTAACCTTTTACTTTTGTCAGATAGAAAATTGCACATTACACATTTCTTTGTAGATGAGAATTCAAGATTAAAACCGAGAATTTGTTCTTTTTCACTCATTAGAATTCTAAGAACACAACAGAAGATGAATATGACGATTTAATTTCATTTGAATCCGACGACGGAACGTTTGATGAGGGGTTTAGTTTCGAACAAACTACAACCCAAGAACAGAGAGTAAGACTGGACAAGAATGGGAAAATTGAAATGGTATAACATTCTACTTGACATATTCATTCGTGTAGCACAAGAGCAGGCACCTAACAGTCTAAGATTTGGATTTTTTCAAAATGACACATCGTAGATGAGAAAAATTCTATGGTTAACTTTTTTACGACTAACGCCGGGTTTAATTTCGTCAATTTTTTCGCCTATAAGCTGATCTTTTTGCTGTAAACTCAATTGAGACTCCTTTATGAAGACCAAGTTATGCTATACAAAATGTACCTTTAAGAATCAGGGAAAAAAATATAGGCCCAGTGAATCTCAATTTTTTAGGCCACTGACAATGAATCAATACATTTTCCTGTCATTTCAAAGTTAACTTTGCCTTTCAAGCGATAAATCTTTTAAAACTGGCAAACTTTCTGAGATTCCTGAATTCTCTAAGTTAAACTTCCGCAAAAATTCAATGTGTACTTATTTCATCATGCTCTTTAAATTTATGATGTATTTATCTGTTGGGCGTCCTCTTAAGCCTGGATGCTTAGAAGACAAAGAATTATTTGATTTGATCAAACAGGGAGCTCCACTTAAAAATGAGAGCAAAAATCTTTACACTGATTCCAGTTTTGACTTCTTGGAGTACGACACAAGCATTAGCGAAAAGGTAAGAGCAAGAGAGAGAAGTATTATAACCGGGAACGGAAGACCCTGTTTTTGAAGTCAAAGCCTAAAAACTCTTAGATAAAAACTTCATTTATCTTCCATGCTGATGGCTCTAACGACCGAGTTTGAAGGGCGCATGCTCAGATTCCTTTTTCCGTGTTATCATCCGCCATTTTGATTTGTTGTGCAGATTAACGCTGTACTTTCGGTCCCAGACTCCGGTTCGCCGTTTCTGGTTTTTAGTAACATCCCGTAGCAAAGTTGATAATTGATGATTGAACCTATTATCTGTTGTTTTTCAGGAATAGTCCAAGGAAAATAGTATGCTGTAAGCAAATGGACCGACCTATAAATTTATAACATTACTTATTGTAAACGAAATAAACTGTGAGAATCTTTGCGTATTTGTTAGATACCAGCTCTCTTTGTCATCTTAACTATAGCCTTATGATGTTATCGGTTGTATTATAATCATATAAGCTTTGTGGTTTGCTACATCATGTGCTTCTGTTTATAGGTACTAATAAAAGAAAAGCATCTTCTTTTACTCTGAATATCTGAAAAAATGGTTTTATTACCTCTGTTTCCTACTATTTCTTGAAACAGTTAAAAAACTATAATAGATACATGTTTACTAAATTCACTGATTCTGCTAATAGCTGGCTGCCAAATTTCGACTTCCAATTGTAGGGCTGACTCGTTTCCAGCCCTATGACATCGGAGACTGGGTGCAAGTCAGCTGCTGGGTGACAGTTAGTAAATATATAAGAATACTTAACACTAAATAACGTGGTTAATAAATACGTTTCTATTTACAGTTCGAGTTACTTAAAATATTTGGGTAAATATCCTTCAGTTATTGAGACCAAGAACTCCTTTTCCCCTCACTTAGGAGAGAGAATCGGACTCTTAAGTTCACAATTGCGATGATTCAGATAATTTTCAAGCCTTCTAGAATAATTCATGTTGTTCGCTTCAAAGTTTAAAGTATATTGCTAACGGTTTCTTATCCGAAATACTAATAGTGGGCACTTGCGATGATTTTCTACCAATTGCAGGACATGGTTTGGGCGACCAATCAGAAACGGAACCAGGGGGATCACTGCGATTGACTGGTACGATCTTCTCGAGCTTTCTCCCCTTTGCATAGTTCTGTGTACTAAAACAATTCCAAAATCCCTAACATTGCTCCAATCCAATTTTTTCCTCATAAAAATATGTTATCAGGCGTTAAGATTTCCTTACTTTTCAAAATGTTCATGTTCTATAAGATGTGTGCAAGTTTCCTTTCTTATTTCTCACATTGAAGCAATGTTACGTTGTAAATTGAAAACTCTTTGGCTTGCTTAAAAACACTCCTGATCCATGAAAAAAAAAGAGGAAACCGACTGCTCACTTAAACTTTTTAAGCCTATTTAGGTACTGGCTTATTAAAATTAGCAAACATTCTCAGGAATGAAGCATAAAATCTCGTTACTATTTCATAATGGCAAGTTTAACTTTTAAGTCACCTACTAAACTAAGGGTTATTAGTGGACACGTTCAAGCATTTTTAAGTCCTGTACTATACTATCTACAATTATGTTTCAGTTAACAATACAGCGCAATGTCGATACCACGAAATTCCTAATTAATTTTGGCGATTTCCCTTAATTGTGTTTACATAGAATATGGGCGATAAAAAATTTATAGGATTTTTATGTCTCTCAGAGCAAAATTTCCAATTTACTCCAGCATAAAGACCCTGAGAAGTAGGCAGTATATACTTTCTTCATGGCGGACAAAAGTGTAAAAAAAAAAGAGATATTATTCTCGATTTTGTGGGCTGCATAAAACCAAAAATAAGAGTCAATCTTTAAAATTTTTTAAAATCATTAAAATGATTTTAAGTTGATTGTTTGGGAGGTAGTTTTCTGTCTTTAAAAAAAACATTTACCTTCGTTTTGGAAATATCAACGTCATTTCACCAGAATCAAATTAAACCGAGCTTAACTTACCATGAACATAATTTTGTCTGGAGCAAGTGGGATCGTAATATCGATATTGCACTATGATTTCGTAATGTTCGTTCATAACATTAAAGAGTGTCCAAAATTGTCTCAAATTCACGTATAAATGTTGTCTAAGTATCCAAACATGTGTTCACGTTACACATGACTGCCAAGTGCCTCACCTCAGTGATCATTATGGCAAATCTGTGCGTCGGCGCTCAGTCCGATTGACGTATGTCTCTCCCATCAGCAGAAATTGTGGTGGTTTCAACTGTTATCTGTAAGATTACATGTCTTTGGCGATAAAGGGAGATTTCTTCCACTTGATGCCCGTGTTCCTGTACAAAACTTCCACCATGCTAGTTCCTTGGGTCGGTAAGGTGGTTCTGTCCTTGAGTTGATAGAGAGCTGTGTCCGTATTTTCGTACCAAAAGCGGTCTCCGTCACGTAATACTCGATACTGGAGAGCAATAATTCGAGCGAAAGTTTCCCCGACACATCCACCATCGACATGTGGTTCTGCTAATCCACCGATCCACAGGTCAACATCATCTATATCTGGGTAAACTTGTGAAAGTCTTTCTTGAAGATCCTTATCGGGCGTTATCTCAGCAAAGTTTTTACGTCTTGACAAACCAAGTCCTTCCCGCACTGTGTTGTAATCTGGAATACCGTGGTCCCTTCCTCTCTGTATGTTGATAGCCACGAGGTCGAGACCCATTGTGTTGGTTCCAAACAAGAAGTTTCGCACAGAGTCTGAAAACTTCAAGTCAACTTCCTGAGCCTTCTGTGTCAGCATGCCTCTTATCAGCGGTTCAATTCCACCTTCACGTAGCACGCGCCCTGGATTGAAGTACGCGTCACGTAGAGTTAGGTGACCATGTCCTAACATGGTCCAGTTTTCGTTCAGTCGCGGCATGATGTTTCCAACCTGACTGTGGCCAAATCTGAAGGCCGCCGTGGCGAACTCGTTGAAGATGCCAACCTTTATAGAGGCGTTGTATCCCTTGTAGGGGCCCAGTTTGTCATACTCCGCCAGGCCGATGACAGTTGGCAAAAACTCGCTCCAAACTATCTTCTGCCACTTGGCTCGAGCTAAGGCTCTTGCGTGCTGGAACAGAGTCTCGTCGTCCATATTTTCGTTCCCTGGATGTTTCATCAGCTCATCGCAGATAAGATTGTGTTCGCGTGACCAAAGCGTGTGAAGGGCGATGAGGCCAGGCTGCACATTCACTCGGTTGTCCCCAGAGACGAGCATTTTGTCACGTGGTCCATTCAGAAGGTTCAAGTTAGTGACTTCTTTAGTGTTAAAGTCGAGGATATCACTGGATTGGTGCTTCAATTTACCGTTTTCCATTGTTCGTAAAACTTCTGCTCGCCCTTCATCGCATCCATAAACTAGAGACAGGTCAATGAATGCTGTAACCTTGTTGATCTGATGATAAAAATTACACTGATTAACATCTGATCATTAGAAAAAGAACATGTCTTAAACGCCTGGTTTCCTTATGGTCATCCGAATAGGCAAAATGTTCAACAAGATCGGAGAATGATCCTGTTTTGCGGAGATCAGGCCTAAACACAAACTAGATATTGCACGTTTTGTGTTCTCGGCGAAGTTTGCCGCAGAGTTTGAGATCCTTATCCTCCTTGAACAAAGCCAAATTTAGCCATAAAATTTTCAGGCATAAAATCTTAACCAGATGGTTTGAGTAACAGAGTAGCCTTGATTTTGGAACAGTTCTGATGACGTAGTCCATCAAATGGAAACCAAGCTCAAAAGAGGAACTACTAGTCAAATGTTGTGATTTCAAGAACGATTCTAGGCACGAACTGCGTATAATCAAACATAGCGGGGGAAAGGGGAAGAAGGGAGGATAAATCCCGAAATCATACATTTACCTGTTCACGTGGTCTACCATGCATTTTCCCGCTGGTCTGAAGGATGCCAGATCTTCTAAATCGCATTATTTCTTTGCCTGTTCCATGCGGGTCGAACCAAGGGTCACCTTCTGGGATTTGAATGCCGAGGTTATCAGTGGTCAGGAAATTGGCGTACGGTGTTGCAAAATCAGTGTCATGAGCTAACATCTGACCAAAGTGCATATGGAAGTCATTCAGACCGGTTTTGCTGAATATGTCAATGCGCTGATCGCAAACAACATTGGATATAAGTCGTGGGCTTGATCTGTTGGAGCCCGCGGGTGCATCGAAGCTGTCAGCGTATGCTGGGGGAAACAGGCGCTGTAGCGGCATGAGTGGCTTTCCGCAGTCAGGGTCGATCGGGTTGTTGTTGACTGCGTCCAAGCGGGCAAACTTTTCTGACAATTGCTCTGGAGAAGGAGCGGGGGTCTCCACTTTAGTGACCTGAGAAAACATACAACATCATGTCGTCTTTGAATTTATACAACATCGTTGTGGCTCATTATGCAGCACAAAAATACGAAACCAGCCTAAAACTACTTTGCAAAAGATTTTTAGCTATTTTCCATTCCTTTTAAACCCTCCTTATAAGGTATCTTCGGAGAAGAGGTTTCTCTGATTATTGTCTTTCCTCCTCCCGGCTAAAATTTATTAATCATATAATTTAGAGATCGACTCGGAGCCAGCTCAGGTATGACATCAAGGTTTTTGGGTCTAATTTTTCTAAGTTCTTTATAAGTGAGCCATTTTAATCGTTGCAATCTTAAGGTATATTTCCGCAAAGTATCTGATGAGTCTCTTTGCCAAGACGAAAGACTGCGTCATACCAGCCACGAAGTATTTTTTCACAAGTATTTGAAAATTCTTCGTGGCATATATTTTTTTCTTCCTGTTTTATCATTGTCCTGCTTTTCTAACCGAACTTTAAACCAATTTTGTCAGTCTTTTAGTATTATTTATGTAAAAAAATACTATTACTTGGCCGAAAAATACCGAGAAAATAGCTCCTCAAAGCACAATTTAGCCATCTCCCTACCTTGACTTTCACTGTAGCAATAGCTGTGCCAACTCCGTCACTAACAGCATAGTTAAAGTTATCTTCGCCAAAGAATTCTGCGTCTGGATAGTATGTCACGTGCTTGGGTCCTACCATCACCTGACCATGCTCTGGTTTCCGGGTCACTTCCTTCACTAATAACTTGGTGCAGCCTGGAACCGACTCACTGGGGGATGTTGTCTCCTCAACTGCATTGCGATGACCCCAGATATCTCGTACAACAAGGGAAGATCTCCTGGGCACGTCGTGAATAATCCGTGTATTGTTAGTGGCTGGCCAATAAACGCGGATTCGAAAAGTGTCGGCGGTTTCCGCACCCAGCCCATAGTGGACAACGTACTCTCCTTGGGCTGAAAACCCGGATGAGCTTCGCACTTCACGGAGAACTTCTTTCTCTAGCCGAGGCGAGTACAAGTAGACGCATGCGCCATGACTTTCCCTCTCGACG